ACGGCAATGTTCTATAAATAAAAATTATAACAAAAGTATTTTCTTTTGTTGTTAGTTTTTTGGTTGTGAGCACTGTTGTTTAGTTTACGAGACCTTAACATAATTTTTAAGTATACGTTTTTATTAAGAGGTATTTATTTTATTAAGTAGTGTTGTTAATTTTAAGTTAGATTCAACAGTTTTTTTTATACAAGCTCTATGAAAACTTACACCTGGCAAAAGTGTAAACAATAAAAAATGGTAAATAATAAAGTAAATTAAGTTAAATAAATTAAATCAATAGTTATTCTAGCTTTGCTGATAAATGTTTTTGCGAATTACAGATTAAGGTTATATACAATTTTATCTCTTTAAAAAATGTACCCATAAAATTTATATTTTGCATTAGTTGAATACTGTAGCTATTATTTTGTAAAATCTGTTTAAAATTTAAAATAAGCTTTTGGTACTGTTTGCCTCATGGCTGTTCCATTTTACACCGCTTTAAGGTAAAATGGATCAGATGACAAATTTTTACTGAACATAGTCAGATAGTTGTTTGTTTGATATTGTTTAATATTATTTGCTGTGATATAATTAGTTAGGTTTTCACAATATAGTTACTCAAAGTCAAATTAGACCTTTGTGCACCGACCTACTCTATATAAAAAATAATAATGTGTGTTTATGGACTTGTAGAGTAAGCTTTTGAGAACTAGTGGTGCATGGTATCGTGCCTTAAGGCAAATTGCTGAAACTTTACGTACCAATTAATTGAAAAATTAAAATTTTTTGGAAACTTTGAAAAAAAAAAAGGATTTTTGAAATTTTTGAAAAAATTGACTTTTTCAAAAAAAAATTGAATTTAAGCTGTTTAGCAATTGGGCTGCGTGGCTATTTTAGAGAAGAAATATCGAAGCGCGTAAGCGCCGCATCGTAGTCTAACGAATCTATAGAAATGTAAACAAAAATCATACTTATCATTAAAATCTCTATAAAATATCTGATAATTTGATGTGCATATGTCCAATATAATCATTTTTGACCGAAAAATGGGATTATTTTTCTTTTCTTTACTCGCCATCTGATACCGCTAGACCTGCCTTCTCAAAAATTTAAACGGTATTTGATTTTGTCAATACAAATAGAATGTTTTTTGAATTATTCATATCAGTAGCTCCGTTTATCAAAAACTGAATTATCATTTTGGGCTCTTTTTGCCGCGGCTCGACCTTCCTTTTCCAAAAACTAATCATCACGTCTCCTTATCAATCGAATCGAATTTTTTTCAATTATTCAAATCGTTTGATCCGAGTTCCCAAAAATTTGTATCCGCGCGCACATACACACACACATACATCCATTTAATCATTTATGCCAAAATGTTCAGAAACCTCTGAAACGTAAAGATATGTAAAAAATATATTTTCGATTTTTTTTTATATCTATATTTACTTTACTATAACTTACTCTACGGAAAGTTAAAATTAAAAATGTTATATGTTTATGATTCAAGACATCCTGTTCATTATGGCATATATTTAAAATGAATGGATGTGCATGCTAGTAAATTAGCGTATTTTGAGGTAAACATTCGAAGCTGATAGTTAATTCTTTTTAGAAATGTATTAAACATGGTTTTTAAGGACGAAAAACAATAATGCATTAAAGAGCTTTTCGCAACCTTTATGTGGGTCGTGAATACTTTATATAACAGATAGATTGTTGATATATTGAACAAAAATTTAAGACTACATTGAATAAAATTTTCGAGTCCAAATATCTATGTATATAGAATATTATTCATTTTCTATATTAATTTCATAAAGACTTATTTCTGAATACTAATATAATGAAATTGAAGCATAATATTGCTTGTCTAGTTTTTTCTATTATTCAATTAATATAAATATGTATATATATATATTATATTGATCTTGGATATACGCCGGTGCGACCAACAAAAATAAATTTTGTCTAGACTCTGCACAAGCAATGTATCGCTCAAGTATCCTTAATTTATCTCTGTTTAGATTATATGATATTTATGAGAATGCAGATAGCCCAATGTGGATCAACATATTGAAAAAAATTCTTTAACTGGTATAATTGCATGTGTATCGCAAACATTTATTGAGTACAACAAAATTCAATAATTCGTATCGTTTAATGCAAATTAATTCATGAAATTATAATTAGTTGGAACAATGGAAAAATGACCTGAAATTAGATGGTATATTTACAATTCATTTGATATATTTTTTCCACGTAGTATTAAATAAAATATATATAATAATAAATATAATAGAAGAAAACAAGAAAATCTGTGCGTTTTTTAATTTTTAATGAAATTTTCAGATTAAGTGAGCAAATTCGGTAATGACATATAATGAAAATATAAACTCAACTATTATTGATATAAATGTATAAACTTTGATATTTCTCAAACTGTAATTCTGTGATTGACATTCAACAAGCAGAACTTTTTATTAGGTAATAATTCAAGTTTTGATGGTTCTGTTTGTCTGAAAATTTACTATTACATTAACATAATAAATACAAGTAAATCATTGATATAATAGTGATTAGATTATTGTAGACATACGCTACTTTTATCAGAACAAGCTAGTTTTAATATTCTAAAACAGCATTTATATTTTAGCATATGTATTAAAATTTTGTCTTTGATACTGTGAAAACCATACTAATTATATCACAACAAATAATACACATCAAGCAAACAACTATCTTTCTATGTTCACTAAAACTCCCTGCTAATTCATCATTAGTAGAAATGTGTTTTTTATGTTTTTCAAAAATGTGTCACGTGGTTTATAAAAAAATGTACCAATGAAATTTATGTTTTGCATTAGTTGAATAATGTAGGTATTATTTTGTAAAATCTCTTTGAAATGAAAAATAAGACATTGGACATGTTTGCTCCTGGCGTTCCCATTTTACCCTGCCTATGGGGTAAAGAGAACCAGCTGACAATTTTTGAAAAACAGCAAAAAAAAAAGCATTTCTACAATGGTGAATTAGTTGGGACTGAACATAGTCAAATAATTGTTTGTTTGATTTGTGTTATTTGATTTGATGTAGTTGGTTTGGTTCTCACAATATAATTGCTCAAAGCCAAATTGGAGCTTTGTGCCCTGCAGTACCTTATATTATATTCCAAGTTCTATCAATGGTGAAAGCATACTTTAGGGCTGTTTAAAACAGTGGTTGCCAATCTTCTTTTAATTAACCCTTAATTTTTTCAACAGTTTAATTTTATAAATACTCAACTGATATTAACAGACTACAAATTAATATGCCATATTATGTAAAAATATGCATAAAAACTAATTATTTTTTGTTTACTTTTCAATATTGTTTCAAAAATATTGGGTTATCTTCGATAATAGTATTCTAGAAACAGATGTAGGCGCCCCCTTTAGAACTGGCTAGCGCTTCCCTTAGGGGGCGCGCCCCGCAATTTGGAAACCGCTGGTTTAAGACATTCGTATGGACAGAGAGAAATAAAATTATTGTTAAACATCAGAACACGGCAATACGATTATACTAGATATTATTTATCGCACTACTGGAAACAAATACATTATGTTTTGTAATGCAAATTTATGTATAATTATTTTTGTAATAAAAGCACAGATTTCTGTGCTAATGTATGATTTAATCGTACGACGCATTTCATTTTCATAACATCGTCGAAACCTTATTTTCTTTGACACTTCTTTTTTTGTTTACTAATACTTATAATAAATACACGGTTAAAAAAACGAAAATTTTATGATTTTATAAAAAGGACTAAAGGTTTTTGGTTTTATAATAAGATAAATAAAAAATCTGTTAACAAAACCACAAATAAAATTACTCTATAACCTAAAACCTATAACTAATGATGACTATATAAATAAAACCAGAAGTTTATAAAATCATGGTCACTTTAAATAAATATTTATCTCAATTAAGTAGCAATAAACTTTTTCTCTAAAATATAAAATATTTTAGTTTATCTAATAATGCTGATTATTTATATACAAAGTTTCTTTAAAGAATGTTACAAAAATTCAATTAATTTATTGATAAATCTATATGCATTTAATTGTTAAAATTTTTATAACCTATTGAAATTAAAACTACCAGATATACAGATATATTGATATGTAATTTTTCTTTTTTATTAGTTTGTCTGAAGATATAATAACGGGATAGGTAAAACAAATGTGCTAGTTTAAATCGAAAAATAAACTAAATTATGAAATTAATTATAATATAGTTTTTAAATAAAGATATGTAATAAAAATAATGAAAATAGACCATTGAATTGAATAGGTGGCAAAGGGATTGGTAAATATCGTCAATATTTAAAGAAAGATACCATAAGGGTATTAATGATTTTTATAAAAATGAACCGAGGTTTTATCAGTTTAGGAAAGAAAATAGAGTTAAATATAATGATGGATATTTTTCGGAACACATGTTTCAAATTAAATGTGCGATTGTTGAATGGATGTGGGGTCTTAATAACACATAATTCTATCATTTCGAGAAAAGAAAGATCAATTACTGTATGAATTTTACAGAAAGAACAATTTTGTTAAACCATCTAATTTATTAACTTCCCGTATTTCATTTAATTTCGAATATTGATCATTATAGAATGATATAACATGGATATAGCTTTTTAGATAAGAAGAAAATTAAAATTTAAATTATGTAAATTATCTGAATGGCAAGTTTGTAAATAAGAGGCCAAATAATTTTATATTAAAAAAACAAATTTACTGCTTTTTATAGACTTACGCAATAGTTCTAATATTGCAATAAAATGAGTTTGTTACTCATATCGCAATAAAATGAGTTGTCTTTTATTTTGTATATTAATAAAAATATTAATCATTCACATGCCATGAAGCCGAATTTTGATTTATGTACCAACAAGCACTTCTATGTTTTTTGTATTGTGTTATTTCTAGTCTAGACACTTACTAATGTTTATTTTTCATCAACAGCAACAAAAATTTCTCAAGCGGCCCGGCGATGATCCGACCGGCGATCCAACATTCGACGGCCCAGCCGTTAAGATGCAATGCTCGCAGCAGCAGCAGCAGCAATCGCAGCAGCAGATGCAGCAGACTGAAGCTCTCACCAAATTCTCGGTCGAAATCGTGCAGCAGTTGGAATTTACGACATCTGCGGCTAACTCACAGCCGCAGCAAATTTCAACGAATGTCACTGTTAAGGTAAAAAAGATGGCAGAGTTATAAAGTTATATATAATATATTGCACTTCTATTTTTCTGAACAAAAATACTTTTTTTTTTCCAAAAAAATATTTAATTTTTTATTTATGTTTATAATCTACATTTTGGTGATATGGAACATCTTCTTCTGCAGGATCATTGATATTGTGTAATTAAACGCTGTTTAGAAAAAAACGCTGTTCAAAAAAATAATAATAGCCGTTCAGAAAAACTTTAATGAAAAATATAGAAACCTGTATTTAACACATCACCATAAGTCAGTAGGATTATTTATATTTTTAACTTCCCGTAGGGCAAGTTATAGTAATCGCAAAAAAATCGAAAATGAAAATTTTTATATATCTTTACGTTTCAAAGGTTTCTGAACATTTTGGCATACCTTAGAAAAAATGGATGTATGTGTGGGGTGTGTGTGTGTTGTGTGTATGTGTGTGTGTATGTATGTACGTGTGTGTATGTATGTGCGGATACAAATTTTCGTCGACGATTTCGGGAACACGGATCAACCGATTTGAATAATTCAAAGAACATTCGATTCGTATTGATAAGGAGACGTGCTGATTAGTTTTTGGCGAAGGCAGGTCTAGCCGTTCCGAAGATACGGGGCAAAAAGTGCCGAAAACGGTAACTCAGTTTTTAAGAGAACGGAGCGTCCGATTTAAATAATTCAAAAAACATTTCACTTGTATTGACAAGATGAAGAATCGATCAAATTTTCATAAAGGTAGGTCTAGCGGTTTCGGAGATATGGAGGAAAAAGTAAAAAAATGAGCCATTTGGCGGTCAAAAAATGATCATTAGACATATGCACATCAAATTATCAGATATTTTATAGAGATTTTAACAATAAGTATACATTTTGTTAACATTCCTATGGGTTCCGTACCAATGCTTATGCGTTAGACAGCAACGCGGCGCTTACGCGCTTTATATTTTGTCCCTATGCAGTTAAATCAGTACGATAGCTTTGAAAAAAAGTTCAGATCTTCCACAATATGTCAAATAAGAAGAAAAAAAATTTTTTTCAAAAAAAAAAAAATTAAAAAAAAATTATTTTTTAAAAAAAATTTTTTTTTTTCAAAAAAAAGTAATTTTTGGTCCATATATATAGTTTCTCAAAAATGTTATTTTTTCAAAGTACATTTTTTTCAAAAACGTTAATCGTTTTTAAAAAATTAATAATATTTGGTACGGGAAGTTCCAGCAATTTGCCTTAAGGCACGATGCCTTAATTGCCTTAAGACAGAATTCCACTTACAGCTAGTTTAAATTTTGAATAATTCGTAATTGAAATGCCTACTTTAGTATTTAATATAGAAGGATTAGACAGCTCCTCTTACTTTTTTTAAGTAAAATTTATGCTTTATTAGGAAAATATGATTTAAAATTAAGTAAAAAACACCCACTGTCTGACAGTGTGGTGAAAAATTATTCGATTACTACAATGGATTTATGAAATAGAGATTTGTGGAAAGAGGTGTATGTATTTATCACTTAGGGGTATGAAAAATAGTTACCAATTCTCAGACCTACTGAATACGCATATAAAATTCGATTTGAATTGGTAAAGCCGTTTCGGAGGAGTACGGTAACGAGCTTTGTGATACGAGACTTTTATATACAAGTGAATAGTAAAAAACTTATTGTTTTTAATTTATCTAAATAAAATTGGTTCGTCACATTTTCTTATGCAAACTAAAATTCTTTATTTAACATGTTACTTATTATTAGATTTGGGTCAAATTTGCTGCACCGTTTTACTCTATAACTTATTACCAATATAAACTTCTCTTCATAATGTTTCCTAGAATACTTTGTCCTCATAACCGATAAAGTCTCCTAATCGTTTTGCATAGTGCCAATTCACAATTGCACCAGAACACTATGAATTGGTTGTTGTTTTGATGGAGTATGCGTCATTTATTGGATAAGATGAAAGACTGATGAAGGGCTGATGCAGCCCTTCGAATTGTCCAGTCTTGTATATACTAGAATTCTCTTTAGATCGTTATCGCACAAAGCTTTTGTATGCGATTCATTTTTCATCCCCAATGATCATCTGTTTAAGAAGTGGGCTAATTTCTTTGCAATTTGCTAATGCTTTTTGCAGATTGAACTCTTATTTTTGAACTCAGCTTTGAGCAGATGATTTAAAATTGTTTCATTTTGAAACAATTAGTAGATTTTGGGCGATAGTACCAGTAAAATTGCGATTATCAGATATGTAGAATACTAGCCCTTTACCCGCTATTTTGCCTGTTATCATTTCAAGTAAAATTTTGATACCACATTTGCTGGCCAAAGTTGGTATCAAACCCAGAATCCATATTTATCTGCTCGAATAACATGAGATTTCGTTAGTTAAAAAGCTGAGTTAATTTATTAACAACCCTATAATCTATAAAGAATACTAGCTTTTTACTTTTAATTTTAGTTTCTATTGTATTCTTGAGTGACTACAATGACAATAGAAGTAAATCTGCGACATTTTTAAATGCAATAAATAAAAAAATATATGTTCAAGCATGAATGTTAATGTAAATACCATTGAGCATTTATGAACAGTTTAACATAGCATTGCGAAATATTTAGTATGCGATATTATTTTATTATCTGATAAGAACTTAAAAGTTTAATTAGTATTCAGAATACAAACTTCATTCATAATATAAATATGGGACGAACTTAAATTTATGTTTTGTTGGGATGAAGTATAGAAGCATTATACCCTCTTGATGTGGTGAGTGGACTTTTAGTAAGGACTTAGAACTTATGTTATATTGTATTCATTTTCTCTAATGTGAGATTTGAACCAAATAGATAGAATTTTAATAATAACTAGTGGCTGGCTTGAACTTTCCGTACCAAAAATTATTTTTTTTAAAAAGATTAACATTTTTGAAAAAAAATTACTTTGAAAAAATTAGATTTTTGAGAAACTATATATTTTTGAAAAAACTATATTTTTTGGAAAAAGACTTTTTGAAAAAAAATGTTTTCTTCATTTTGAAATATTTTGGAAGTTTTGAACTTTTTTTCAAAGCAATCGTACTGCTTTAACTACATAGAGGCGAAATATCGAAGCGCGTAAGCGCCGCGTCGCCGTCTAACGGATCAACATCGGTATGGAACCGATAGAAATCTAAACAAAATTTATACTTAAATTTATACTTAATGGCATTTGTTTTTACTTTTCTCACAAGATATCCGAAACTGCTAGACCTGCCTTCATGAAAATTTAATCAGTTGTTCATCTTGTCAATACAAGTAATGTTTTTTGAATTATTACAATCGTTCTCTTACAAACTGAGTTACCGTTTGTGGCCAAAAACTAATCAGCACGTCTCCTTATCAGCAGCAATCGAATGTTTTTTGAATAATTGAAATCGGTTGAACCGTATTCCCGAAATCGTCCACGAAAATTTTTATTTGCACAAACACACACACGTACATCCATTTTTTCTAAGGTATGCCAAAATGTTCAGAAACTCTGAAACGTAAAGATATATAAAAAAAAATTCATTTTAGATTTTTTTGCGATTACTATAACTTACCCTACGGGAAGTTAATAATATCGCCTCCTCCTAGTTTTGATATTCTGTTTTATTACTATCAACAAGCTTATCTACTAGTATTTATAGATATATTTATATTTTAGCTAAATTTATGTTTATCGGAATTTAATTTTAATTCAAGCTAAAATTCTGAGGTTCACTTGTATACTTAAAATAAATAATTTTAACTTCATATTTCAATTCTTAGAATTATGAGATACATTCCTTCATTCTAAGTTTTGTTTGTAAGCTCTTATATTTCTCTATAAAATACAAATGATGAAATTTAAAGTACTTATAATAATCTATTGGAAATGATTTAATATTCCTCCAATATTTCATTACGGTACGGGAAGTTCCAGCAATTTTCCTTAATTCACGATGCCATGCACTGATAATTTTTTTATAATAGGAAGTTGAGGCTAATTGCAAATCCAATGGCCAATGCCATTCGACTTCTATTATGCCAAACGGTTGGATAATATCACCTTGTTCGATTCACATGTGACTCAAGTTTGTTTTATTTTCCAGCAACTTCTTTAATATCATTTATTTTGTAAACAAAAAATATATAATTTCCTGAACACGTAGTCATAATCTGAAGAATAATTCTTGGAAATTAAAAAACTGTTCAATAGTTATCAGACGAAGCTTATGTTGCCACTCACTAGAAATGGATTGGATAGGGATCAAATTATCCGTTTTCATAATATGTAATTTAGAATGCGTTTTCATTTTCACAAAGAAAGGATTCTGTAATATCATTTTTACGGTGATATTTAAATCTATTTTCAATAATAAAAAATTGCAGAAGAACTTCTTTCCAGTTTGCAGCAAATTGGCTTGCACTGTTTCATGAGTAGTCAACAGAGCTGTATTATGATTAAATTAACTTAATTTTCAATTATAAATTAGTTTTCAACTTTTGTGGATTATTGTGTAAAAAAGCGAAGTATTGTCTTTATTCATATGAAGATCAAGTCCAATTGCTCTGTTTTTTTAAAATGCATTTTATCGAAATTACCACTTATGCCTATTTTAGGTTTCTAATACACAATGTCCAATTGTAATTAAATGATTAATTCCATCATTAGATCAGATGTATCTTCGCTTGAATTTTTCCCTTTCGATTTATCAATTGTTTACACCTTTATGTGTAATTCAACCTTCTATTTCCTGGCTACCAGGTGTAGTGCCATGGGCTTTACTCAAAACAAAATACTTGTTTTATCGCAAGCCCAATATGATACCGTGGAAAGAAGTACATTAGTATAAACATTAACATAAGTTTAAAACGATATGTCATTAAAAATAATGACAAATTTTATGATGTTGTTACAATCATTAAATGTATATATAAATTTGATCTAAGCGTAAATGTAATTTGATACTTGCGGAATATACCACACCTCAAAAGATTGCAAAAATTGTTAGAGATAAGATGTCGTTGAGAAATATTTCAGAAATTTATATTACTTGGTTGATAAATGTGTCATTATCTTTGAAGCAAACTTTCGAAAATACTTGTAGACATATTTAACATGTGATACATGTAGAACCAAAATAGTAAATGATACAAATCGTTTTTATTTATCTTAGTGATCAAAATTATATTTTCATAATGATAATTTTCAAAACACTATAGTGAAAATTTAAATTTAAAGTCAATGTTACCTCTATCCAGATGTCATAAAGCGTCATTTTTTATTTCTTCATCAAATTTACCACATGGGGCGTTCATTAATCAAGTGAGCGATTTTTTTATGGATTTTTGGAACCCCATCTCAACATTGATGATACATGGTGAAAATTAAAATTACCCGCGTCCACCAAACATCACGTGTATTTTGAGCAACTTAAAAGTATTCGAACGAAATTTGGAAATTATGAAAAAATCCTAATATATTTTTATTTTTTGAAAATTCAGGTAAAGAATAAATACACGTGATATCTTACTAGGCCCCACCCTTCGCCATGTGATATTTTGTGATTTTTTGTCAAACCTCCCTCCTTCTAGAAGCCTCACGTGATTAAAGGACACCCGCTCAATAAAAAATATTAGCAAAAGGTATCCATAAATTTTCTACAAAACTTGAAAATCTATAATGCATATCATACTAAATTTATAAATTAAATTGTTTTTGAAATCATTTCATTAATTATTGGGAGATTTTTTATAAAGATGCACTTTTTTATTTTATTTTATTTGGCCTCTTATTTACAAACTAGCCATATACAAAATTTCCTACAATAAAGATGCAATAGAATATTTTGAATGTTTTTAGATATGTGAACAGCACACATACTTTGTGTACGTTGTTTTTCTAAAAAAGTGTAATAGAACATTATTAAATTTAATCAATGCAATCTATAAATCGGATGAATGTTTTTTCTTACTATAATCAGAATCGAATTACTGAAGAGTTTCGTCAAGTGTTAATAAAATTCTATTGATATCTGCGAATTTCAGAACTATATATGTTCTATGAGCTATTGCAATGTAAATTCTTAGCCTAGTGTAACTTGAGCTACTACAACCTACAACCCAGATTTTTATCTATACTGTTGAGATATACGATATATTGCAGAAATGTCCCCAATAGGCTATTTTCACTTAGCATCAAGTGGAAATCTGACATCATTACTGCTTGATATCAAGCTGTCTCAGATTAAATGACTTGGTATCGCACATTTAAAATGAAAGTTGATGAACTGTTTCTTAATCTATCAGTTCAGATATCCTGGAAAAACTGGGAAGTTAAAATTGGCAGACACAGACTTATCCTTTTCTTTTGAATTTGAATTTTGAATTTTCTATATGCTATCATCTACTCATCTGGATATAAAAAATACTATGTTATCGAATTTAATATTTTGGTAAGTTTTCTACTTACTTACTCACGTGAAACGTTCAATAAAAGTTTTTATTCAACGAATATCAATATTTCTATTTAATCACTATTTTAACCATTGACGAAATTACTTCCTGAGCAACCCAACAGTTTTTATCTAAACATGTAGAATGTTAATTAAGCCTAAGTCTCTATGGGCTTGCCTAACTTTCAGGTCACATTTCAAATTTTTTAACATTTTACCAAATAATATTTTTAATATTTTACCTTCGTGAGATGACGCAAAATCTTAATTCTACAACGTTGTAAAGACAACCAATATCAATATTTATGATCTTTGCTAGGCTTTTCAGCCTGAAATTTTGATAGCCAGAATTGCGAACATTAGGGCTGCTGTGACTTAAGTCACATAATTCATCAATAACAAAAAATATGTTCAAACTGAATTTTATATTTCCGATTTGAATATATAGGTTTATATTACTTATTATTTGTATCTTTTTTTTGGATGTTAAACAAAAATTCAGCTCATAGAGGATTAACTTAATCATTAAATTTATAAAAAGGAAATTGAAATTTAAACTTTTTCAAATATAATATTTATCGAAGCCGGTGTCGAGATCATCACATAATATTTATCTAGCAAGGCATTAAAATTTTATTTCATCTAGTTCAGGCAGGAAAAGGCCATGGCAATCCAATAACAATTGCAAAAATTTGTTAAACCGACATTCTTTCGATCGACATTAGTATTTCAATAAAAACTGAACGAATGATACGGATATTTCGTTTTGTACGTAAGAAAGTTCATACATCTTTAGGTTGGAACGTAATTTTATCTCAATTTTGAAGTGGGCGAATAGGAAGCGGAGTTATTAGATTCATTATATTGAAAATGTCATATGACGCACAAACAGAGACCATTTCAAAAACATTTCTATTTAAAGATGATATCCTTTTTAATGATGATTAAAAATAAACTTGTTATCCTCGATCCAAATTTGATCCAATACCGCTTTATTGTTAATATTATATGTTATTGAGTACGTATTATTGAGTACGTTATGGCATCGATATCAAGTATTTGAAATTCGCAAATATATATCATAAATGTTTTGCTTTAGCTATTGTATTGTATTAGTGCTTCATACCAAACTATTGTCATAACAGACGTCGGTTTTTAAAATAACAAAAATGATATGGACGATGGAGAATTCGATTGCTAATCCACTAATAACAATGGCCGACTGTACGCGATAGTGCTTGTGTTTTGAAGATATAATTTTAATTAAATTCTGCCAAAGAACAACATTTTTGTTTCTACAATCAACGCGTTTATGCATTATGGTAATATAAAAAATCTTGCACTCCACTTTTGGTCTTCTAACGTGATGTGTTAAATGCAATAAATTCCGTGGCTGAAGTTGTTAATTATTAATAGTGATTATTGATTTTAAAATCGTATTTTGAATTGATATTACTAGTGCAAGGACAATGTTTATTATGGGCTATTGAATTATTTGTGTTATGTTTATGCAAATGTTTCTGTTTTACCGTTTATAGAGCATGCATATCTAATTAAATTTTAACGAAAATTATATTTTATGCTACAAATATTGGTCATTTAGTGCGTATGTTATATATAATTAATTCTTAGCTCATTACTTGATGGAATTATAAATCAATCATATCATTGTTAGCAAAACCTACAACATTGTGATGTGGTTTTCATTCGAGGATATGGTGCGTTAGTTAAGATGCGCCAATAGAATGATTGTATTGGCGAACGTGTTGATGGAACAGATTTCAAAATTTTTCCTTATTGTGTTAGATTTATTTTAATGATCACAATGTTCTGTGGTTCCATTTTACTCAATGGACTAAGCGGAGCCACTTCATTATGCACTTTGTATCAGCGTTATTTGTTATAAAATTTATATACTGAAATTATAATAATTTTAATACGCAATCAATATTTAATACAAATTTAATATACTATTTACTTAATAATTAAAAAAAACTTTACATAAATATTAGTTAAATAACCAATGAAGCAGTTTAAAACTCTTAGATCCCTCCGAAATTAGATGTTTTTATCACAACCAGTAATTTGAGTTGCCACAATTATATTATTTCTTTTCCAGGCCTTAACTTCCACGAAAACCGAACCACCATCTTCCTGTTCAACTCCCTCTTCCACGACGACAGAGCAGCAGCAAAGTAATCAACTACTGCAGCAGCTGAAGCAAGAGCCTCTAACGTCACCGGCTTCTGGGGCAGACTGTACAAATTCCAGTGTAGCCGGTGGCGATGAAGACGATGAGTTTGTAGATTTAGAACAGTGTGCTGCAGCTCTCGAGAAAGACGCTGCGGCAAATGGGGCTGCTGGCGGCGGTGGTTTTCCACGATTTGAGTTTTATGGTGCAGATCAAGCCATGTCTACTGAGCAATTGAATAATTTGCTTTCGGAATTGTCTGATATGCAAGGATTTGATTTTCCCGAACAGCAGTCACCGCAGCAGCAGCATCAGCAAAGAGTTGAGGATGAAAAACCATCACCGGCTATGTTGATGCAGCAGCAACAGCAAAATTCGACGGGTAAAATATAATATAAAATACTTATTAAAATAATTAAAATAATGCATATAGTTTTCATTAATTTAAATATTTGTCTTTTGCAGGTGGTAGGACGCCTAACTTCCATATGGACTTCCCTAAACCTGAATTATCACCTGCTGCACAAACCTTGAAGCATATGGCTGAACAACATCAGCACAAAAATAACCAGTATAATAGAGGTCCTTACGGTACGGATTTTGGAAATTATCAGCAACAAAATCCAGGACAACAGGTGAGAAATTTAAAAATAGTAAATTATATAAATAATATAATTATTTGTCTATTGATTACGAACTCATTCTGAATTCGTAATATTCAAAATAAGTTTATAAAGTGAAGAAAAATATTTTTGTTTTTTAACATTCATACAATATTAACAATATTCTTGGTTTATTTTATAGCAGGTGAAACAAGAACTCCTCTTCCCGCAACAGTCTTCTAAACAGCAGCAACAACAGTATTCTCCTTACGGATCACCAGGTCCAATGCCCGGAGGTGGTGTTGGTAGTCCAGGTGGTTATCCGGCACCACCGCGGCCGCCATCTTCTTCGGCTTCCTCCACGGCCAACACTCCTCCGGCAGCGGGTGGTGCGACTGCTGCAGCAGGCGGACAACAGCAGAGCGGGACCTTGCAGATAAAGCAGGCACAACAATTGCACATCTCACAGCCTATGACTGGACATCACGGATTACAGGTAGGATTTTTTCATGAAATTGAATTATAGGGAAATTTGAAGTAATTGTGATGTTTTTAGGCGCATTGATGTTTTAATGAATTCAAGCATCTATCCTTCATCATCATATCACCTGATTTTTATAGAACATTATTTGTAAGAGTTATATTGCTCATAATAAATGCCAAATACTCGATGTGCCAAACAACAATTTAAATACCTAATTTTTAAATTGCAATCGATATGGAGCGATGTCAACATGTGGATCTGAGTGTGAACTAGTACGAATTTCTATAACAACTTTAATGAAAAAATGATCAAATACATTTTATGGTATTTTCAACGAAATATTTACTACGTACAAGTTTTATATAACTAATTACTTAAGATTTAATATTGAAGATTTTTATATTTTATATTATATATGAATATTTTGATTAACTGATGAAAATAGTAGTTTTGTGATGATGAATATAAATGGTGAAGTGTTTCGGATTTAACTTCTGTTCATCCTTCTGAATTGGTTACTTGTGAATCAAATAAGATATATCTATGTCAGATTACGTACGGTTCATACTTATTATAATAGTTTTAAATTGTTTGTCTAGTTCAATATTATGAAATTTTGTATTTGGCCGCACAGCTCTGTTCTTCTTAAGACGTACCAGAAAATTTCTAAGAAGTTAACTTATGAATATTCTACAATAAAATGGTAATGTTGTGAAATCGTTCGTAAATACTATTGAATGATTTGAATTTTAAATTTCACTGATTTGCGCTCGTTTTGTTGTTTTACGTATGTTCTATATATCGCAGTATTACGAATAAAACAATTGATGAAACTGATAAAATTATACACACTCACAAATTTATTTATGTCGGATTTTAGTTTATAGAAGTGGGATTAATTAACTTCTCGAGGTAGAAGAAATCCGATTTGTTAATTTTATGTTTTCTCGAAGTTCCATGTCATTCTTGAGCGATTGAGACCAATGTTAGAAAAAAGTATGTGTGTATGTGAGCATATTTTTCTATTTTTCGTGCAGTATTTTCATAAGCGACATTCGGACCAATTTCAAAAATTTTAAAATTTAGGGATTTGTGTTGATTAGTTTTGCGCAATGATCGACTAAGCCGTTTCTTTGCAGTTAGCATAAAAGTGCTTTTTTGTAATCGTTTTCGCATAGTTTTTACTGTCTCAACTTTATGGATTTGTTTATTGTTCACGGAAATTAATTAATAATTATCTAAATAGATTCTTTAGATTTGTGTCACCTAGCTGAAGTGTACAAAACTTTTCTATAGTGGTATAACAAAATGTTACTAAAATATTAGTTTAAATGGTTAAATAATATAAAGCACTACGCATCTGATATACGTAATCGTACCACTATTTTCTTATACCAGATGCTTAATATTTCACAAAATAGTTTAAGTTTAAAAAAATGTTTCATTGGTTTTGATGAAATTCAACATGTCGATAAAGTTTATGCACACTAAATAGTTCTACGAAAATTGATTGAATTATATAAATTCATTAAAATTTAGAATAATGGGCGCTTTCAGGACATACAACGTTACAGATATTATGAACGTATTTGGGAGATATCAATTGGAAAATGCAATGTTTAGTTTTAAGTGAAAGTGGAAACTTTAATTTCAAAATAAACCGTTAAACATATTAACTAAATAGTTAAATCTCAATTTGTCCGAGAATATTTCAAACAATCAATTTCCGATATGTGTAATAAGTCAAGTATTACACATATCGGAAAGTTCTTGCAACTGGCAGAATGCCACCTACACTATTTGGTTATAGTATTTTTTTTTCAAAGTTTTGTGTTCTTGTTTTAATACTGAGCAATGTTAAATAAATAATTTATAATTAATATAAAAATTAATAATTTAAATATTTGTTATTTTTCAATTCGATAATTTGGCTGAAAAATATTCAAGATATTATATAAATATCCATTTTATATTATATGCATAAAAATGTTTAGTTTTTTATATTATTATATTGATATTATATATTCCAAATCCGCCGACGGATTTCTTGTTTAACTTCCCGTAGGGTAAGTTACAGTAATTGCAAAAATCGAAAATGGATTTTTTTTGCATATCTTTACGTTTCAGAGGTTTCTGAACATTTTGGCGGATACAAGTTTTTGTCGACGATTTTGAGAATGCGAATTAACCGATTTGAATGATTCAAAAAGCAATTTCTATAGATGGGGAAACGTGCTGATTAATTTTTGGCAGGTTCAACCGTTTGGCCGAAAATGGCAATTTAGATTTTGAAAGAACGAAGTGTCCAATTTTAATGATTCAAAAACATTTTATTTCTATTGACAAAGTGAAGAACTGATTACATTTTTAGAAACGCTGGTCCAGCCGTTTCGGATATCTAATCAAAAAAGTAAAAAAAGATGCCTTTTGCTGCTACATATGCACATCAAACTATAGAATATATTATAGAGATTTTTAATACGAACAATTTTTGTTTACATTTTTATGGGTTCCGTATCAATGTTTATTCGTTAGACAACCGCGCGGCGCTTACGCGGTTAGGTATTTTGTCTATAAAACAGATACGCAGCGCGATTGCTTTGAAAAAAGTTCAAAATTTTCAAAAAAAGTCAAATTTTTCAAAAGTCATTTTTATCAAAAAGTTCTCAAACATCTCATTTTTTCAGTTTTCAAAAAATTTTGAAGCTATTTAAAAATTTAATTTTTGTTACGGGAAGTTCCAGCAGTTTGCCTTAAGGCACGGTGCCACCCACCACTTGTTCAATTTTCAAACGTGACAAAATAATTATGTAAATGACGTTCAACAGTTTTGAAAAAATAAAGATTATTTGACTAGGCTATCGCGAGGGATTATTCCAACCCTATATAAATCCAGCATATATATTTCAATAATGCGTTGGCTTTGGCGCGCTTTTTGCCGCGCACCCTATTCCGAGTGGAATCTTTTACGTGAATCAGTCATTGCATCCCTCTGCTCACCGTCCGTAGCATCGCGTCGGGTCGGCTCTGACATGGTTGTACGCACGTACGACCGTACGACGAGTGCGATATGCCGACGATAATGGGATAGCGACGGGATTATTTACTCAAATTATTTAAAGCAAATTTATTATGTAAGAAAATAATAAAAATCTTGTCAATTTTATAGTATATTAAAAGCCATTCAATTATTATTGGAATTTCCAAAGCTAAATCTGTTGTATGCATAATACAATACGAGCTCGATTAACCGGACTAATTGGTGTTGATAGGCATCCGGATAATCCAATGAATAAAGAATAATGTGTATTTATCAAAAACAACAAATACTTGCATATATATCAACGAAAATCAATATTTAATAAGAAATTAACATCCTTATATATATATATATATATATATATATATATATTTTCTCAAATTATATTACTTACATATACTAAACTGCAGCATAAATCGTGCAAAAATTCGAATTGTAAGTATGTATGCATGTATGTACATACATATAACTCTGTCGCTGTTGGTAGTCCGAATAATCGCGAATCCTTATAACTGAGGTCCAGATTATCGAGGTTCTACTGTAATTATTATGAAATTTCTTTATTAAAAAGATGGCAGCCGTTTCGAACATACGGGTCCGAAGAAGGGTTAAAAATAGCAATTCAGATTTTGAGAGAACGGAGCGATCGTATTGAATGTTTCAAAAAATATTGTACCTGCATTGTTGGAATAAAGATTTTTTTATACACGTAGTTTTTACAGCAATCAGAACTATTATATGTTCTATGAGCCGTAAAGAGCGCTGCTTATTACTAAGACGTCGTTGTTAATACATCGATTAACCCTATTTTATCTGAAATATATTTAACTTCCCGTAGGATAAGTTATAGTAATCGCCAAAAAATCGATAATGAAAATTTGTATATATCTTTATGTTTCAAAGGTTTCTGAAAATGTTGGCATACCTTAGAAGAAATGGATGTATGTGTGGGTGTATGTGAACGTATGTACGATTTCGAGAACACATATCAATCGATTTGAATGATTAAAAAAACATTCGATTCCTATTGACAAGCGGACGTGCTTATTAGATTTTGGCAAAGGCAGGTCTAGCCGTTTCAAAAATACGGGATAAAAAGTGCTAAAAATGGTATTTCAGTTTTTGAGAGAACGGAGCGTCCGATTTGAATGATTCAATAACATTTTACTTGTATTGACGAAATGAAACACTGGTGAAATTTTTGGGAAGCCAGCCTTTGCGGAGATCCAATAAAAAAACTAGTGGGGTGGGTGGGCCTTAAGGCAAATTGCTGGAACTTCCCGTACCGTAACGAAATGTTCGAGGAATACTGAATGTTTTCAAATAGATTATTATAAATATTGTAACATTGTCTAATATTTATAAGAATTATATAAACTGAATTGCAAAGTTGAAATTATTTGTTTAAAGTATATTAGAACTATAGTCAGAATTAAAAATAAAATCTGAATTATTTTCGATATACAAAAAATTAAAAAAAAAAAATTGAAACAAAATTTTTTTTTCAAAATCAATTATTTTGTTAAGACAAGCAGAAAGTTCTTTGAATCATTCAAATCGGACGCTTAGTTCTCTCAAAAACTGCCATTTTTTACATATTTAGCTCCGTATCTTCGAAATGGCTGGGCCTGCCTTTGCCAAAAACTAATAAACACTTCTCCCAATCATTACCAATCGAATGTTTTTTAGATCATTCAAATCGGATACTCCGTTCTCTCAAAAAGTCGATTTTTATTTTCTGCACTCTTTGCTCCGTATCCCCGAAACGGCTGGACCTGCCTTTGCCAAAAACTAATCAGCTCTTTTCCCTATCGATAGGAATCGAATGTTTTTTGAACCATTCAAATCGGTTGATCCGTGCGTCCGAAAACGTGACTGGAAATTTGTATCCATACATACATACACACACACACACACATCCATTTTTTCTGAGGCATGCCAAAATGTTCAGAAACCTTCAAAACGTCGAGAA